TGTGAATAAATGAGTGCTAAATAATTCGTTTTGTAGAACAAGTCCTTCTGTTCATTCTTCTTTTCTGTGTGATGTGATTTGTTTTCCTGGAGATAGGTGCTGTAGGTTTTACATGATGTAATGTGTTTTGACAGGGAATTCATTCATCTTCTCTTAATTGCGCTTTCAGTGTATTCAGGGCCTACCAAGATGGATATGCCAGTTCTTTTTTTTTTTTTTTAGAAGAATTATTTACCAAAACACAGCAACAGTATCACCAGCTTTGTGTATAAAGCAATAGGTATATATGAAAAAAATTAAGCTGCTCCCACAGTTGTACTTGGAATTCTCTGTAATTCTTTGTAAACTGCGAAAGTTGCCTAAATGAAGGCACCAATTAAATTTGATTGCCTCTGTATTGAACTCAGATTATCAGAAAAGTCTTTGTTCTTGAAAAGAAATTAAATTTAAATTCAGGATGTTAGAAATATATGTGATCTTACACTGTTTACCGATTTCTTTCAGTCTGTTTTGTATTCTTTATTAACTACTTATATTCTCCTCAATTTTTTTTTATTTTGCATAAAACCAATACATATGACATCATTGGAATAAGAAGCCACTGTTCTATGTCAGGTCTTCTCATGGTGCCATGCTAATAGACAATGTAAGGTCTCATAAGAATGATAATGTGTAACAGCAATATTGTTGTACATTCTCTGTGTAGACAGTATCTATAATATATTTACTTATATTTTTATATATATTTGTATTTTTTTAGGAAATTTGAGACTAAAATTAAGTTCTAATTTTATAAATATATTATTATTTATTTAGAAGAAATTTTAAATACGAATCTATTTTGAAAGTTCTTAAGAATGTTTATTTTTCCACTTTTATTTTTTATTATACATACATTCTTTCCTCTAGCAATATATCCTGATTAAGAATTCTTCCTCCCAGGTCCTCCCCACCTCCTCTCTCATCTGAATCTCCTTTCTGTCTGTCATAGAAAACAACAGACTTCTAAGATATATCAACAAAACATGACCAAATAAAATATGATAACATAAAACAAAAACCATCACATCAGACTTGGACAAGGCAAACCACCAGAAAGAAAAGAGCTGCAAGAACTCGAGACACAGTCGTTCACATACTCAGGACTCCCATAAGAATACTAAACTAGGTAGAATGTAGAGAAATTGATGTCAGGAGTAGGAAGCCAACTTCTTTCTCTTTCTTCTCTTTCTTCTGTTGGCATATCTGCATAGTAAATTTCACAATGCAATGTTTTCTCCAAAAGGCAAGGAACAGAGGACCTAGATGTTGGAGTAAAGGTAGAGCAAAAGACCCTTTTTATTCACTTTAGTTATTTATGGTTAAAGTTTTAATAAACATTGATCTTTGCTATTTTAAAAGAAAATATTAAACTGAAAACTGTAATATATGTGCATGTAGACCCTGTGCTTGCTGCTTCAGTCTCTATGAGTTCATATGAGCCTTGCTCATTTGATTTAGAGGGCCTTGTTACCCTGGCGTTCCATCCCTTCTGGCTTACGCTTTTTCAGCCTCTTCTTTTGTGGGGTTACCTGAACTCTGAAGAGAGGGATTTGATGGAGACATTCCATCTAGAGAAGCGGGTTCAAAGATCTCTCACTGTATGCGTAATGTCTGGCTGAGGGTCTCTTTGTTCCCTCTGCTGCTGGAGGAATTTTCTCTGCTGATGAGTGAACAAAGTGTGGATCTGTGAGTGTAGCAGAATGTCATTTGGAGTCATTATATTGCTACTTTTGTTGTTGTTGTTTTGGTATTTGGTTTTAGCTTAGGACCCTGGGCTATCTAATCTCTGTTTCTTGGTGAGTGTCAGGTGTGAGTTTCATTTTGTGGAGTGTGCCTTAACTTAAATCAGACATTGGTTGGTTACTCCCACAAACTTTGTGCCTCAATTCCCTTAGTGTATTTTGCAGGCAAGACAGATTATACATAAGAAGTTTTTAGCTTAGGTTGGTGTTTATGTTTCCCTTTTGCTAGCCCACAGATTATCTTCCCTTACCAAGACAGTAGAATGGAGGGGTGAAGATTCTACGAAGGCATCAGCTTGACTTCTCCATATTCATTGAGTTGTGTGAGGGTTGTCTTTACCAATGGAGCAATGCTCTCAGTTTGTAGAGAGCAAGCTCTTTATCTTGGTACCAGCCTCCATGGGACTTCTTGCCCAACATCTCAATTAGATACAATCCAGTTCCAATCAGGTGTTCTGAACCCTGAATCTGATGGTAAGAGATGGCCAATTGGGACTCTCCTTCATTATTTGGAGACTTCATTAAGATTGTCTTCATATATTTTAGGAAGTTTCCACTGCAGTTGGTTTCCCTACCATTGTTAGCAAATACTCCTCAGTTTTAACTGTCTCCCCCAATTCCCTTCCTCAATCCCATCTCTCCTCTACATCTGAACTGCTTGTTCCCCTTCCCTTGACTCCCAGGCCACCCATAAAATCTATTCTATTTCCTCCCTTCCGGAAAGATCCATGCATCCCCACTTGTCCTTACTGAATAACCTTTTTGGGTATACGGATTGTAGCTTGGTTATCATTTAGTTTATGAATAATATTCATGTATAAGAGAATACAAAAATACAGTATCTTTCTGGGTCTTGGTTAAAACACTTAGCATGTTTTTTTTTTCTAGTTCCATCCATTTGCCTACAAATTTCCTGATGTCATTTTTCTAAACAGTTGGATAATACTCCATTGTGTGAATATACCACATTTTGTTTATTCCTTCTTCTGCTAAGCATCATCTTAGCTGCATTGAGCATGGCTGAGCAAGTTTTTTTTTTATTGTTTAACCTATCCAGTGTTTTTTTTTCATATAAAGCTGAGAATTGGCCTTTCAAAATCTGTTAAGAATTGTGTTAGAATTTTGATGTTGATCACATTGAACTGGGATTTATTTTGGTAGAATGGCCAAAAATTAAATTCCTATTTTTTATAAAATGAATGTTTTATAATATGAAATTTATAATTCATATTATAATTTATTCTTAAAATATAAATCAATTTTGAAAGTTATTAAGGAAATTAACATTTTAATTTTATGGGAATGATTTAATACCTTAGTCTATTTTAAACAAGCAGGGAGTTTGAGTTGTTATGTTTTTGCAGCTGTGGCCTATATGTAATACACATTTTCACACAAGTTATTGTTATATGTTAGTGCACACATTAGTAAACATCTTATTTAACTTTATTACTTGTTCATGGATCTTGCTATCCTATTAAATGTTTATGAGCATATATTTATTCATAGCCTTATAGAGAAACAATGAGTATCTCTTGCAGTTAAAAAACGTATGCTTTCGAGATCCTTATGAAAGTAGCAGAAACTCTCAGTGCTAGCGATTTATGTAATATTTGATTTTCTAATTGAAAAATCAACATAGTTCATTATAAGTTTAGAGAATACCTGTATTTTATTCAAGGAATTAAAGGAAAGTTTGATAATTAGGAAGCAAAAGAAAACATTTTTAAACACTCAGTCATCAGTCAGTTTATCTGATGCTTGGACATATGCTTCAGAGATACTTGGGAACTGGGAACAAGCCTAGCAACATCTGTCTTGTCTTGGACATATGCTTTAGAGATACTTGGGAACTGGGAACAAGCCTAGCAAACATCTGTCTTGTTTTGATTCAGTGTATATGTTAGACAAGAGTTGTCCGGATACCTTTGCAATTTCCCTCCATGTAACCAGCTGCAGAAACATAAAAAAGTGAGAGACCGGATCAAGCAAGGGGCACCCAGCCCCAGTTAAACCCCTTTGTGTATAATCTTGACCCTTCCCTCACAGTCTCATCTATGGTTCAGATATCATGAAAAGTCTTTCCTTCATTGATGAAGCTAGGACATATGCTACTCCAGTCTCAGCTAGTGCTCCCAGGATCTCCATGTGACTTTTCAACCACAACTGCTAGATCTGTCCTCCCTGGTCAAACTACAGCTCTCCCCTTGCCAACTCAGCCCTTTCAGAATTCCTTCTTTATTTGGGTGACTTTGGTTGTTTTTGATTTTCTTTATCTTCCATAAGATATTTTGTTTCTACAGATTAACTCATGTCTTATTTCTCAGATTAAGTTTTCTCTGATTGGTGATCTGCAACAGAAGTCAACATGCTAACAGATTTATTAAATGGTAGTTTAAAAAATAGTATGTTAAGTACAAATACTAACCATTTAAATTTTAGTAAAATGTATGGTAAATGTTATATTATAATACAATCAGCCAGAGGGGAAAAATCATATAGCTTTATTTTGGCAGCATCACTACCTGCCTAAACCATAATTTCACTAAATATTTTTAGAAATTCTGGTTGTGAGTTTTTGCAGAGTATATATTAAGGACAAAAATAAAATTTTAGTTTTAAGATGGCATATTTTGAAACATTTATCTTGAGAAGTGTGAAGCAGTGAGTTTTAAAAGTAAAAGTCGAAGCTTTGAGGTGAGAAGTGCTCTGTATTTTACATAATTAAGTAGAATGAAACATCTGATCTAAATAGGGCAGTTTGGTCTATTTCTATTATTGAAATAACTAAATATTTTAACGTAAAAGTACTGCACATGATTTTGGATACATGTTATTAACTATGTGTCTTGCCTTTGTCTTGCCTTACATCTGGTATTAGTGGTTTGCAAACAGATTGGAGTTAGAAAGATGATAGAGAGTAGTCAGACCACAAGCAGGAAACTGCTTGAATTTGGCAAGATGTACTTGGTCTGCAGTGTTTGTAAGTATTTGAATTAATCTGAGTTATTCTAAAAAAAAAAAAAATCACTGTTAGTAAATCAAACAACTTTCAGAAATAAAGTGATATTAACAAGATATGTTCCACTCCTGTCTAGTGCCAGATATCTGGGGGGAACAAAATAAATCACTACTGTAGTTGGTTGTTTCTCTGATTTAAAAATTCAAAGTTTACTCTTCCTTTAAAGTAATATTAATGACGCTTTACTTTTACAGAGTACCTTCAAGTTTAAGTCTGAGAGTGATATTCATTTGGCAGAACATCACAAGCAGGTTCTGTATGATGGGAAACTTGCAAGTAGTATTGCCTTCTCATACAATGCCAAGGCCACCGATGCTCAGCTTTGCCTAGAGTCCTCACCAAAGGAAAATGCCTCCATATTTGTGCATTCTCCACATGCATTAATGCTCCAGGTAAGTGGGTGGGGTTTTGTACTCCTGCTGTCAGGTCTGCACTGAGTGACTTCATTTCCCACAGTAAGCATTGCTCTCCTACAAACAGCTACTGCTTTTAATTTTGAATTCTTTTTTTAAAATATTTATTTATTATGTATACAATATTCTGTCTGTGTGTATGCTTGCAGGCCAGAAGAGGGCACCAGACCCCATTACAAATGGTTGTGAGCACCATGTGGTTGCTGGGAATTGAACTCAGGACCTTTGGAAGAGCAGCAATGATGCTCTTAACCTCTGAGCCGTCTCTCCAGCCATGCTGGTTGTGGTGGCGCACACTGGTAGGATTTGCTGAAGGAGGCAGAGGCAGGAGGATCAAGAGTCTGAGGCCAGCCTGGGCTAATTTTGAATTCTTAAACCAAGCTTTTTTTTTTTTTTTTGACTGAGTGCATATTGACTTGGATAACTCTATTGTTGTGTTTCTTTTTTCTTCGAAATAAAATCTGTTGACCTCCTGAACATGAAGTTCCTATGTATGAAAAATATCATTTGAAAATGTCTTAACTGCCAACTTGAAAATTATTTGATGTCCTGAAGCCCAATATTTATTTCTTCTACAATAACTTAATTTAGCTTCCTAGTTTTAGGAATAAGCCTTTTCGGTTTATTTCAGCTTTAAAGATGGTTAATAAAAGATGTTTCATTTTTACTACACACAAGTATGTCTGACAATAATTAAATGCTTGAGACCTCTTACAATATCAAAATACACTAACCATATAAAGATACATGGGGTAGGAAATAGTGATGAAAATCATGTCATCGAGGTTTAATAAATATTTTGTCTTTGATGTAGGATGTGAAAGCTATAGTAACACATTCAATTCATAGTGCAATCCATTCAATTGGAGGGATTCAAGTACTTTTCCCACTTTTTGCCCAACTGGACAATCGACAGCTTAATGACAGTCAAGTGGAAACAACTGTCTGGTAAGTTCTTTTTGAATATACAGTATGCTACTGCTTATTCACTTAGTTCATTCGTGTAGATTTCATGCTCTATAACAGTGCAGTATTTGGGTCTTAAGTGCTAGTAAGAATGTTTTTAGGATTGAGGCAGACATATATCTGCATAATATAAAAAACACCAATGCTTAGATTTTGATTATCATAAAAAATCCCTCCCTAGAAAATGAAAGAAATAATTCTATATATAATAAAGTGATTATGATATGCAGTTAAGGAAAAGGCTTGTTAGTTAGCTCCAAACTTACCCATAGCAAGTACTCATAGTCCTGTCAGATCATATTAAACTACTCAGGTAAGGTATTTCCAATACGTTATATAGTTTATAACTTAAAGACTTACTCATTTAATAATTCTATGCTATGATCCAAAATTAGAACAGTATTAACATAAACTTTCCTTTAAATATAGTTCATCTTTGAGGGACAAAAAAGATGGTGGTTTGTTCATGATCAGGTAAAATGAAATGTCTTTTCAGTGAAGTTGAATTCATGTTTACTTCTCATAACTTCCCTTATTTTATTAAAAGTACTTCATATATCAAACTTTGATTTATGTATTTTTTAAAGTTTAGGATAAATTCTAGCACTATATAGCCTCTTTGCTCTTTTAGTCCAGAATAAAATAGTCTCATTAGCATGTATATATACAGTAACTTTTTAATGGGTTGTTGCATTTTGAATTAATGACAAACCAATAAATGGAATTATAGGGAAAGTTTTATATTCATTAAAATGTAAGGCATAGTTTTCTCAAATTAGCTGAGTTGACTTTGAAGACTTCTGTATTAGTGTTGATAGTGATATTTTTCCTTTATTATGAATGTTGTTTTGTAAGAACCATACTCATTTATGACATTCAGTGCCTATCTATAGAGCATCCTTTATTTCAACGTAATATTAAGGTTGGAGTTGTGAAAGTCAAAAGCTCTGAGGGGAAAATGAAACCTGAGGTTGTGTCCTTTGGACTATTACTTTACAGTGAATATTTGCTCATTTTGACCCTGTAGTAGATCAGTTTAGTGAAAACAGACAAACAAAACCAAACAAACCATTTTCTTATGATTCTGAATTTAAATTAAAACACATGTTTTGCTAGTTTTACCTAAGGGGAGTGTGATGCATTATGACCCGTATTTTAAACTAAGTGCTGTGAAGAAAAACCAGATAATATGCTTTGCAATTTAAACAGTCTTTAGGAGTTACCTAGAATTCATAATTTTTTTAACCTGAAAGAGAAATTTCCCCATGAAGGTCTAGAATGAAGATAGATTAGATTATTACAACTAAAATTACCATGATAATGTATTTCCTTATGGACAGCTAATATAAAATCTTAGTGCTAATAACACATGTAATGGTGATTTGGACCTTTTCACCAAAACTTACGTTAGTTTTTTGTGCTTGAGTTCAAAACTCATTATTTAGTCAAGGAGGTGAAAGTAAAGAATTCAACATTCTGATTTTTTAAGTTGTTTTTATTATCCATCTCAGTTCCCTCTCATAATCACTAATTCTAATTTATTTAACGATATACATTTTGTACTTAGTTTATAGCTGATAGAACACATGCCATAGGAAAGATATTGCAGTCCTCTTTAATAACAGTGTATGTGCCCATCTAAGACGCTGTGGGATTTCATTGTATGCTGCCTTGCTTTCTTTCCTTTTGTTAATTAATTAAGCATATTAAAGTCCTTGATATCTGGGGCATGCTGTTTATAAATATTGTCAGTTGTACAGTCTTTTAATGTTCACTCTTCACAGGGACCAACATATAATACTGAGTGTGTCAGCAGAGAGCTCTTTATTCATAGAATGCTAAAAGCAGCTTGTTACAGAGGATTTCTTCCTCATTTGACAAATACAGATTTTTAGCTATATAAAGGTTTATACAATTTCTTGTTTTTGGCTTATTAATTCATACAGATGAATAAGACCTCAAGTTTGGGTTATCATTTTAAGTTAGCCAGTATTAACTTGTTTCAAAGGAATAAGAATCATTTTGTAATGTTTTAATTTTCTAATGAAATTTCAATATATATTTTTAAAACCCTCTTGTGCATTAAATATACAATAAAACTACAATAATTTCTCATTTTCGGTGTCTTTCAAGAGAAATTCAGCTAAGCTGTAATGAATTTTTCTCTGGTTTCTATGTTTCATTCTGAAACATATTTTTCCATGCACTAAGCAGCGCCTTTTTATAAGACTTTTTACTGTTTTCATAGCCTCAGTTTTGTTCTGCATAGGGGAATGCAAGATTAAACTCCCTCAATGAGGAGAAGCTTGTTCTTTTGGATTCTGGATGGGTGACTTACTCGTGCAGGATGATTTTTCTATCTTTATTTATCCCGATGTTGCATTAGTATGTTATTACTCAATTCTTGAACTTTCTGGTCACTTAGTCTAGGATTCAGATCTTGAGCTTAATATTATTAATGTAATTTAAACTACATTATTAACTGTTTCACACCATAGTTTGTACCACTGTAGCTTTGGAATAATTGGGACTTAGAGCTATGGTGAATAAGTACAACAAACTATGTTGATAGATCCCTGTGCCCTCTAGGTTTGTTATTAGGGTAAGTGAGCTAAGTGATTCTACAAAGGTGTATGCTTTGATTTTGTGTTTTCAATACTGCATACCATTATACTTTATAAGATAATACAGCAAAGGTTCATATTACTTTACATATGATTTTCTTTCTATAAATAATGTGATGTTATTTACGTTAAGTAACTAGTTATATAGTGAGATAAGATTAGAACTTGAACTTTGAACACAGTATAGAAATCAACACTAGATTCAGAAACTTAAACATTCTAAGATGATTTTTCTTCAGTTGGCCATTGGATTTGCCTTCTACTGTAGTATTTAATCTCTAGAAGTTATTGCTCGATTGCCTTAAAGAAAATACATGCATGTACTTTCATTATTTATTTATTTATTTATTTATTTATTTTGTATTTTCGAGACAGGGTTTCTCTGTAGCTTTTTTGGTTTCTGTCCTGGAACTAGTTCTTGTAGACCAGGCTGACCTCGAATTCACAGAGATCCGCCTGCCTCTGCCTCCTGAGTGCTGGGATTAAAGGTGTGCGCCATCACTGCCTGGCTGTGTACCTTCATTATTATGCAAAACTGTAACTGACTTGTGTCTGAATAATGCTGAGCAGAGTCAAATAGCTTGTGGCAATACATGTTGGAGTTGTTCAGGAATTTGCATTTCATTAATAAATTAGGCAAGTGTATACAGGTGAAAATACATGCTCCTTATAATTATTAACATCCCCATGAACTAAAAAAAAAATCCAAATATTTTTGACCCCATCCTTGTTCAGACAAAATTAGACATTTTAAAGTAAGAACAAACAGTTCAAAAAGTTAGGTGATACACACAAAACAAGCATTCTTTCTTTATTGTGTAACTGTGTAAACGTTTTTTGAACAAATGATCTAAGTTGATTTTTTCTATGAAGCAAAAGTACATTGGAAGTTCTCAGCAGAAATTGTGTGGAGCAAAGATAAAGATAGAAGATGTTTTGGTCTTAACTCTCCTCTGTCCTCTTTGATTTCAGATCATAGGGTTGGTCTTGAGTTGATAGAAGTTGTATATTATATTCATTGAGTACCTCTCCATTTCTTGTGTAGTCACTTCCGCTGTCAGTTTACTAAAGACTTTTCAAAGATAAATGACCAAATGTGATTGTTAAGTGCCAGCAATACATTATTTCTGTACAACATAAAAGAAATAAGCTACTATCATTTGTAAACTATAGCCCCACAAAATATTTCAAATCTTATGTTATGTGACCTAACTGTGTTCTACTGTTGATGAGAAAGAATGAAAGTGAGTAGTCCCAGGATCGTAGGAGCTTAGTGAGAGTGGTTGTAAAGGTTCTGATCACAAAGGCCTGATTTCAGAGCCACACGTGCAACATTACGAATGCTTCTAGAATCTCATTTTTAAGTGGTATCTTAAACTATGATATTTCATAAGTTAAAAATTGATTTCAAATAATAATTTAAATAAAGTCATGTAGGTCTGTGCTTTTACTTTTAATTATCACTATAGGTTTTTACCTAGAATGATGGAATATAAGACACTACTCACAGAATTTCATAGAACATTTGCATCAGTGATCATGTATTTCAAAGGTTCTCTAACAAGGTGAAAATTGGAACTTGGTAGTTTAGTAACGTTAAATAATTCTATTCTTTTCTTTCTGTCTTCAATCTTTCTATCTTGCCTTACCAAAGTTATTCCTGTAATTAAGTTGACTTTTGTGTTCCCTTAGCAATATCTTAATTAGCTCTTTTGTCATACATAAAACAGTATTACCTTTAAGCTTCCTTGTCTAACTACCTTAATCTTATTTTACTTTATTCATTAAAGTGACATAAAATATTTTTTTGATTTTTAATTCAGAAAAATTTACTGCTATACATAGATTTTTAGAGTTTAGTATGAACTTTTACACCAACTAGCCAAAATGTAGCAAGTGATTGTCTATGCTAAGCCAAATATGTAAAACCAATATTTGTATAAGATGGTTTCTCCGTGTGGAGGTTGCTGTTGTTGATATAAAATATAATTGATACTTTTATTTTGATTTTATTTAAATACTTTATTAGATATTTGGTAAAACAATTCATTTAATTTTATTTCCTTGTTTTTTATACTTCTGTGGAAGAACATATTGTTGCATTTAATAGTTGCATTTTCTTGTCTGCCATTGTAAAATAAAATACTGAATTGTAAGGAAACCATCTTTGAAGTGAAACTTCTTAAGTATAGCACATAGAAATAATAGACGGCAGGTGGCCATGCTTATTTTATTTATCTAGACAGAAGACTGGATCTTTATTAACCTGTTCTAAAATGTTCCTTAAAGCCCTTCATAGATTTGGGGACCCCATAGATTATTCACTTAATATTGGTTGCTTTTCAATTTTTCTTCAAG